CCTGACATTCCGAAATCGTGCCGACTCACGTTTCTTGTGATTTCAACACCCCGAATTAATTTTACTGTTGCGTCCTGAGCATCCTAAACTGTGCTACAACATAATTCCTGGAATTTCATCTTTACGATTCTTTGAATATGTTGCAAACGTAAGGACGAATAAGCGAGGCACTCAGGCGAGAGCCACATTTTTGAAAAGGGGCCGCCCTGCATTCATTGGTTGCGAACTTTTTGGACGAAAATGCGTGGTGCTAAGGCGAGAGCTACATTTTGACAAAAACCCGCCTTCCATCCTTTCAGCTGCTGCTAACCTGTAAAGACGAATGTGCGCTGCGCCACGGCGAGAGCCACATTTTGAAAGCCACGAGCCCTCTATTTTTGACACCGTTGCAGAGTTCAGGCCGCAGGACCAGAGCCGGTGAAGAAGTCTCAGGCGCGCCCTGCCGACACGTCTACCACGGGGGTGCGACGGAGAAGTTCTCTACCCTGGAAGTCGGCGGCGAGCCTGGGTGGGAGACGTGTGAGGGGGCCGGGCCTCTTCATGATTGGCGTGTTTTCCACCACCACCGTGAGTTGGAGGGGGGGTCCTCCTCGTCCTCCTCCTCCTCCTCCTCCTTCTCCTCCTCGCCCTCCTCCTTCCCCCCTCCAACTTATGGTGGTGGTGGTGGAAAACAGGCTCATCATTTCAGAAGGCTCGGAAGGCCTCTGGCCTTTGAGAAGTTTCTTGAGCCTTCCCCAGAGACAGAGAGAACTTCTCGGAAGGCTTCAGGGCCTCTGAGAAGCCCCGCCGCCTTCTGAGAAGGCCTCTTCACTTCCGCCTCGCTCGCCGCTTATCCTGGAGGCCTGGGGAAAGAGGAGAAGCGACACTATATTTCCGAGAAGCTAGAAGAGCAATGCCGGCGACAATGACGGCGGCCACGACGACGACGGCGACGACGGGGACAGATAAGCAACGAAACGCGCATACATATGCGAGATCACTTCCCCCGGGCTCACCGCCGAGAAAAGGGATGGAGCAGGGGTCCTGAGGCAGGCGCACGAGGAGGCCCTCGGCGTGGGGCGGGCGGGCTGCGGGTGCCGCGAAGCGGCCGGCGACGCCCGCGGCCCCCCCCGTGCCAGGATGGGCTCTTGCGGCAGTTTGCCCGACCTCAGGAGGGCCCCCCGCGCCCGCACCGCCAGACTCCATTCTGCTCTCTCTTGAATAATTACTCCCTGTCGCACCCTGAGGCTAGTCGCAAGGGCGGGCCGGGCGTTTCGCTTGAGACGTCCTCACCATTTATCATCCTGAAGCCTAGAATTTGCAGGAGCTTCATGTATTGGAAGCGGCCCGTTTTCAAAATGTGCCTCGTGCGTGAGCGCCGCGCACATTGGTTTTAAAGTTTGCAAGAGTTGCAAGGATGGGGAGCGGTCCGTTTTCAAAATGTGATTCTCGTCTTAGCCGCGCGTAGTCGTTGACAAGCTTGCTTTCTTTTCGCGGATGCAGGGCGGTTCCTTTTCAAAATGTGGCTCTCGCCAGAGCGCCGGCTTCTTTTCAACGTGTGGCTATGGTTTTACCGCCGCACGCATCCGTCGTGCAAACTTGCAATGGATTTCGCGGAAAGAGGGCGGCTTTTGATAAACATGTTTCTTTCGTTTGAGCACCACGCGCATCCGTCTTAAAAGTTTGTAAGCGTTTGATGGATGGAGGGCGGTTCCGTTTCAAACTGTGGCTATGGTTTTCGCGCCGTGCACATTCGTCTGAAGAGTTTGCAGCAGTTTCAAAGCTTCTCATGGTTAGCGTTCCAGAAATGGTGTTGTGGCGTGATGTTTGAATGTCAGGGCGCAACGGTCACGCTGATCCGCGGGTTTGAAGTCTCAGGAATGGTGCTCTGTCGCGATACAGGATCGTCAAGACGCAACAGTAACAGTGATTCGCGGCGTTGATGTCCCAGGAGTGGCGTCTTTGCACAACTTCGGATTTTCAAACAGTTGTCTTTTAACGGGGCACTTCTTTCGGTGAAAATGAATCCGTGTAGGGACCTATGAAGAGGAAGCTTGGAGGCAAGGTGTAGTGCAATATCGTTGGCGAGTCTTGCGTTTACAATGTTTTCCTCTTCCTCCTCCTCCTCCTCCTCCTCCTCCTCCTCTCCCCTCTCTCCTCCCACTTGGCGACTTTGCTTCGGCAGCTACTGGGTTTCCAGGATCCCGAGTTCGGCGCTTTTGTGCTCCCGTCCAGAGCTATCAGCATTGTCGTCACGGTATCAGGGCCCCCGCCGATTCTAGGCATTTCGGTGTATATATATATATATGTATAAGAATTTACGACGGCGAGAACATCACAGACAGCAATCTCGACATCTCGGCGGCCGCATCGTCGCGCCACGCATTGTGTGAAGGCCGCAACGTGACCAGGGGAGCTTCAATATGACCCCAGATGTGCTGACCTCCTCGGGAGTTTCAAGAGACTTGATAGCCAACGTCGTCTTTCCGATATCCGTACATGCGCCAGCACACGGGGCATCAGACTTCTGGATTTTTTCGTAATGTCATCAGGCCCCAGCCGCTGCATTCAGGAAGTTGAGGTTATCCCAGACAGCGACATCAAGACGCACACGCTTGTGCGGATTCTCTTCAACCTGGAGTTGGCTGAGCTCAAGGCCCTCACATTCCTCCAGCTTCCCAGGCTCCCAGCGGAGGCTCCTGTCGGTCAAGTTTCTTAGCCTGAGGACTATGGTCCAGTGCTTGTCGGAGTGCGCTTCATTCTGGGTGCTGCTGAGCCGGAGGATGCCGTGGCTTTCATCGGATATCGCAAGCAGTTCCTGGACCCCCCTCCCCACGTTTTACGTTCTTCGTGTGAATTCGAAGTTTTTGGGGTATAGAAAATAAAGTGGGTACGAACTCCTCCATGGCTTTCTGGATGTTCAAGATGACGTCTCAGGCTTTAAAGTGTTTCAAGGAGTTCTTGAACCCACATTGGCGGAGTATGTTAAGGCTTCCTCACAGCAGTCTTTGAAGAAGCCGCGTAGTTGGTTTTTGGTTGGCGTCGACAAAGGGGGCGAAATGTTCACCGCTGGGACCGCGAGTTCCGACCCCGGGTGGCCACCGCCGCGCATTGTGCCGGAGGGCGATTCTTATTCGATTTTTTTTTGTTTGAAGGCGGAGGGGGAGCGCTGTGGTGCGCTTTGGGAGGCTTCGTCGCACCCTCCCGCGGATGAGGACCCGCTGGGCGACAGCTGGGGCTGCTTCCGCCAGCAAGTATGATCTTTGTGAGCAGAACTTTTGCAGTAGGCACTGCGTCGAGTGTGGATGGTTTCCATGTGCGATACGTCGCACTGATGCACCTAGACCTGCTGTCCGCCGTTCGTTTTTTTGGGGGGGCTCTCGCGATCATGGAGAGCACAGGTCTGTTGCCTTGCCCCACCCATGTGCTGCTGACGGTAGTGCTGCAGAAACAAACGGGCGGCTTTCGCCTATCGGTGCATGCTCTGTGCTGTACAGGCTGTGGGTGCGAGCCCGTCGGCCGCCAGCGGAGCTTCTGGAGGCCGGCAACCAGCGTTCATATCTTGCCGCTTGGTCTTTAGATTCGGCCTCGGACGCTGTCGTTTGGCAGGTGGCCCAGAGCGAACGCAGCATGGGGGACGAGCCACTGTGCTTGCAATGCTCTGTGGGGCTTGTGTACAAGTTTTCCGAAGCGATTCGGCTTCCCAGGCCCTCGGACAGGTGAGACGTCTTTTGCCCGGGTGTATATGGTCCCTACCATGGACCTCCTCATACTCCCCCAGCAGGTCCCCCTTGACATATGCAAGGACGTCGACGGGCTGACTATTTCGGGTACCGGCAAGTAGGTCGTGTCGGCCTTCGAGGAGGCGTCTGTGGAGCCGCTGCTTGCCCTTGAGCCTGAGGCGGAGTCCACAGCTTCTGCCGGCAAGGAGTCGTGTCAGTTTCGCCCTGGGCAGGAGTTGCCATCGAGGGTTCTCTCGGCGACCGCAGAGTCTCGGTCGCCGACGTCCCAGCGGTCAACCTCGGAGTCGACGGCGCAGGTGGGCGGGCTCGTTGCTCTAAAGGTCGGGGTGCCGCAGCTAGACTGAGGCCCTTTCATGTGAGATGTAAGCGAGTTCTCAATGCTCGGCAAGCTCAGAGGCGTCATGCTCGGAAGATCGTTCTGTCTGGGCCTCGGGCGTCGGCGAGTTGCGGCTCGGGAGCCTCCGATCTGACAAGGGGTAGAGAAGGCATGCGGCCAAGTTGGATTTTTGGAGATTTGGTGATCGGCGGCTGGGGGCGGCCCCTCTGCCCCCCCGACTTGCGACGCGTTCTATCATTGAAAGCCATCGGGCCAGATTCGGGACACCACCGTGTTGCGTCGCCCAGATGGCGGCGTCGCGAACAAACAGCGCCCGCGTGGACGACGTTCCTCTATACACGTTGGCTGCACGATGCCGGGGCCGCCGTCGGCTGGGAGGAGGTGGCCCGCGAATGCGTTGAGACCGCGGAGATTGCCCGCCTTGCCGACGCAGGCGCCCCTGTCGGGCGCCGTCGCGCAAGGGCGATCCGGAGGAGGGTGCCGTTCGCGGGGGTCTGAGGGGCCCTTGCCTCCGCCTGCGGCCGCCCCTTCTTTCCCCCCTTCGCGGCCCCTCGTCTCTCTTTCCCTCTCCCTCGTCGTTCTTCCTTTGTCCGTAGTTATTCCCGTCGCCCTACTTCCTCCTCTTATCTTCCTCCTCCCTTCTTCTTCTTCTTCCTCTTTCGCCCCCCTCGCCCCCCTGTGCTCCCTCGCCCCGTCCCCCCCCCCATCCTGAATAGATGAGGTCGATGAGGTGGGAGGTGGAAGGTAGTGGATGGCTAGGGGTAGGATGAGGAGACAGAGGATGATGAGGAGCAGGTTGAGGGGTAGGAGGGTGAAGAGGGAAGGAGGCGGGGCAGGATGTGGAGGGTGGGGTGAGCAGGACGCGGACGAGGTGTACGGTGAGGGCGAGGATGGACAGGGTTAGGACGTGGAAGGGATGGGTGGGTAAAGGAGGCGCGAAG